CTAGATTCACTTTGTTTTGGCTCTCCTTTTCTAAATGTGAACAGACCCACTTATTTATTATCTCTTCCTGATATCCGCTCCCAGTTTTTACTTCATTCCTCCTTCTTCAAGGAGAGAAAGGTGTCAGCTTGTATCTGCCAAGCATTCCCAACACAAATGGTTTCTGGGACTCAGGAGCAGGTTCTGATTTTAGTGTATCCTGCTTACCAGGTGCTCTGGGACCCAGGTGTTTTCAGGGATCTGGAATCTTGGTTTCCACAATGACATTTACAGAGCAGCTCAATCTGCTCATTGAAAAGCATCCAGGGTTTAGTGGGCAGTAATGAGGCTGAACTGTGTCCAGCAGTTGGAAAACACTGTGACACATTAAATGTCACTGAAGGCTTTGCTTGGTTTTAAAATGAAAAAAAAATTGCTGAAGTTATAAAAGCTTACCGACTTTGCCTAGAGAGGAAAAAACTCCCCTCCTTTTCTCCCCCTCTATAAACGTCTTTTCTAAGGAACAGTCAGCCTGCCCTTCTACCCCTATCTCAACCCAACACTCACCCCACTTATACACTAATGAGTTCCCAAAAGCCATGGTGCTTCCCCATCAAGTTCTTGTTTCCAGAACTCCTCTTGCTGGTGAGAAAGAATGCAGCATCATTACTGATTCAAAGCAGATCTGACCCTGCTCAGGCTCCAGTGCCCATCTTCCCAGGATCCCTTAGCCTTTCTTTCCCTTTTCTTCTTAGAGGAATGCTTATACTTACTTGTGTGCAAATATCCATCTTCTGCAGAATTTTGTGTCAGGTCTTAACACCAGTAGGGCACTCAAGGACATTGGGTTTAGACTACTGCACTCAAACTTAAGTCAGAGTTCCCATTGTACACACCGTGTAACTGAGGCCCAGAGAATGAGTAAATTGCTCAAAGTCCTCTAGATAGGAAGTGCAGAGCTCTGAGCCAGCTCTCCTGCCTCTAGGTCTCTCTCTCTCCCCCTTGGTCATACAGCCTCCCACTTCTGAGATCAGAAAAAGACCACTTCACTTGTTTTACTCTTTCCACTTCCAGCCCACGGTAGTTTTCTGCTCTGTGATTTTATCAATACAGTTAATCCACTTGCATCATCATTTTCTTGCTTGTGTTACCCAACTCCCCCCAGAAGGCCCATTTCAGCCCTGATGTTGTAACACACTGGTTTCTTGTGCAAGTGTGAGCGTGTGAACATCTGCATAGGGTCATTCCAGAGGACCCAGCCTCCTACCCCATTAGTTAGTACTTAGGTAGGAAGCACGCAAGGTCTGGAATGTTTCATAAAGTGATTCTCATGCAACAGGCTTGAAAGCAAATGAATGTCAGAGTCCACAATGTGAGACCTAGTGAGGCTGGAGGACCCGAATTCTAAGAGGAGCTGATGCCTTGCTTACATCTGCATTTGTCCTCAGTTGAGCTATTTGCTTTGTTTTCATCCTGGGAGGGGAAAAAAAGGTGCCAAACAGAAAGGCCTTGGTTATGACATAGATCCAGGGATGTCTGTCCATTTGCACCACTGTAACAAAGTACTTGAGACTTGGTAATTTATAAAGAAGAGGAATTTATTTTCTCACAGTTCTGGAAGCTGGGAAGTCCAAGATTGAGACTCCAGAATCTGGTCAGGGCCATGTCACTGCACTGGCTTATGGAGGAGGAAGGTACATGAATAAAGAGGGCCAAGCTCCCCTTTTATGACAGCACCAAACCAGTCCTCACAACCCAGTCACTTCTTAAAACTCCCACCTCTTAATACTGCCATAATAAAAATTAAATCCCAACATGCATTTTGAAGGGAGCAAATATCCAAACAATACCACAGGGAGACCCCATCAGTCTATTGCCCTGAAACATCCAAACTACAGCACAGGGAGGGAGACCCTGCAGGTCTGTTGTCCCCAGCCTTTCCAATTTTGGACCTCTCTGCTCTCTCCCCTCCACAGATGAACTGCTTGGTATAAATTAGGAGGTGGCAGAGGTTGGAGCGAAGGGCCCCAAGCTGGCCATATGTTATAGTTTAGAGCTAAAATGTTCCCCTAAACTCTCATGTGTATGGAAGGTGATTGGATCAGAGTGGTGGTGTAGGCATCAACGGATTCACCTATTGGTGAATTCAGTAGTTTAATGTGATGTTGGGAGGTAGGACCTGGTTGGAGTGGGTCACTGGGGACATGACCTGAAAGGATGTATTTTTGTCACAGGATCTTTCCCCCCTACTCCTTCCCGGCCGCCATAGCTTGAGCACCTTTTCCTCCATGATGCCCTTCCCCCATGCAGTTTCTGCCTTAGAGCCAAGGGACTATGGACTGAAACTGTGAACCAAAGTGAACCTCTCCTCTTGTAAGTTGTGTGTGTCGGATATTTCATCCCAGAGGTGAGATGGCAACGGAGACACCACACAAGCTATGCTGTGACTCAGGGAAGACACTTAACTCTTTCCAGCCTCAGTTTCCCACCTGTGAAACAGGGAGCTCCTCGAGGAGGATACAGAAACAGATGCAAAGATGTTGTAGCGCCTACCAACTATCAGGTCCTTCTCTTTATCCTTGATAATATCACTCCATATTTTTCCACTCAAGAGCCCTTACCTTGTAATGGGGCAACAGCCTCTGTAGTGATGATTTTTTAAAAAGATAAACACCAAATAGTGGATTTCAGGCCTCAGGACCAAGTCCAAGAAAAGACGGGGAAACACAATCATAGCAGACAAGAAATCCTTAATGACAACACTGGTGAAGGGCTGGGGATATAGCTCCGTGGCACAGTGCCTGCCTGGTAAGCACGAGGTCCTGAGTTTGATTCCTGATACCAAAAAACAGCAACAAAAAACAATAACAAAACAAAGTAATCTGCAACCCCAGTTAAGGAGGCTCAAGAGGCAGAGGTGGGGGAGTGAGTAAGCAAGTCACAGGAAAGCAAGTGGAATTCGAGTAGCTTCCTCTGTCTTTCTTCTTGTGTGGAAAGGCCCTGGTGATCACACAGCATGGTGTGGTGAAGGTTAACACACATTTACTGAGCTCCTACATTGTACTCCATCCCCAGACCATTGAGAATGTCTTCATTTCCTGTTTCCTCCTCCCATTCAAATCTTACCCTACTCCTTCATCTTTTGGTCCTTTTCTCTCCTCATCCTTTGACCCATGCACCACCATTGAATCTCAGCTACTTTTTCGGAACAGATACCATGAGAAAGGCTGCCTCTTGATGCCAACACGGGGCACAGAGAACAACCAAGTTAGCAGAGAGGAACCTACCTGAGACTGGTAGACAAACATGAGGTTATTTAGTTTGTTCTTGACCTTCCCACTCAATATTCTGCCAGATATTTCCCTGATGGTGAAGGAGCCAGCTAGGAAGATCCATGACTGCTTCACAGCCATCCTATGTTGACCAGATTGTGTCCAGGGGGTCTCTTCTTATTTATAACCTCCACCCCACTCTCTGTGCCAATAAGGGCACATTTTATGGAGTGACCAGGCTTCCTCTAGTCTTCCCAGGTGGGCTTCTTCTCATCAGCTTCTTGTATTTTTCTCTCATTGGAAGGGAGAGGGCATGGAAGAGGCTCAAATTCAAATCCATAATATGTGGTTCCTGGCTCTCATAATCCATGCCAATAAATGTCAGAAAAATTGCCAGCTGTATGTCACATGGTTTGAAAAATAAGCATGGGCACTTTGGCCTTGGACTTCTGCATCAGCACTTGTCTTTACATCTCTAGCATTAAAGCTCATGATGCCACTCAAAGACTTTTTCATTTGACTTCAGACTAGACAGGAGGCATTCATGTACATCCCACAGAACAGCAGGCACCAGATAGGCCCTTAGAGAAGATCCACTCCAACCATCTTATTGGGAAACTTTGGGTAGACTTTTCCACTTTCGTGAATGGGAAGCAAATTTTCTACAGTAGGAAAATGTCCTTCCCTGGGAATCGTGGCTGGGCTACATGTATGTGCTCAAGTTCAAGCTTTCCTGCACGGCCTTTGAGTCTGCCCATCTTGCCTCTCCTTTTATCACCTACAGGTCTCCACACTGCTTTGGAAAAGGCCAGCCTCAACTGGAATGTCCTGCTTCCCTTTCCATCTACGTATTCCTGAGTAACTTCTTCCTATTCAGTTTGGACTTGGCTTAACTATCATTGCCTTTTGAAGCTTGAATAGGGCCATGAACAAGAACATGACAGGCTCCCAAATCAAGATTTAGGGTCGAATCTCTGTCCACTTCCAAGCTACCTCACCTCTTTAAGATTATTTTCTCATCTTTAATATGGGCATAATAACACCCAACTTTCAGGATCCTCGTCAAGTGCTCAGTGTAGTACCTGGGGCAGTAAGCACTCAAAGTCAGAAAACATTTTCACTGTTTTCTGGTACTTTCCACTCTGTCTTTCCATCCAATCACTATGCTTGTATTTGTGTGTTATTTTAAAATTTTACTTTGAAATTTATGTACAAAGAAATATGCACATTTTGGCTGCATGGTTTGGTGAGTTTGAATACATATAGATGCGTGTGTATACGGAATATTTCTATCACTCTTCAGGTTTCCTCAGGCCCCTTCTCAGTTAGTCTTTACGCACTTCCAGACCCCAGGCAACCAGTGATCTCTTCCTATTGCTATAGATTACACTGTCTTTTCCTAGCACTCCATATATATGGAATCATATACTACATACTACTTTCTCTTGGGATTTGTTCACTCAATACAGCTTTTTGAGCTTCTTTGCATTCATCGTGAGTTGGTCCCTCATGGCTATTATTTTTACTTAGTATTATAATCTATCAATTGGTCCACTAAACTGTGAAATTCTTGAAGATTCCATCCTTTTCTTCTTAGGCTCACAAGTAGGTAACTCAGGAAATGTTACAGGCAAGGAGGAAGGAAGGAAGCAAGGGAGTTGCCATGGGGATTGGCTACAGCTCTGCCACTTGTCTACCCCCTGGAGGCATTCATCACAATCCCCAGCAGAACCCATCTCAGGCACTTACAGCAGCCAGTCCACAGCCACCAGCAAGCTGATGTCCTCTGTCGGCAGGCCCACGGCTGTCAGAATTAGGAGCATGGTGACCAACCCAGCACTGGGGATACTGGCGGCACCCACGCTCGCCAGCGTGGCAGTGAGGCTGTGAGAAAGAGAAGGCTGGGTCATGGGAAGAGAAAGAATCTTGGCAAAACTATCCCCAGCATTGTTAAGCTCCAGTTTCCCTGCAGCCATAAATTTCCTCCTCCTCTTCACCCCAAGGAATAGAGAAATCTAAAGGACAGAGACCCAGAAATTAGGGTCTATTTGGATTCTACTTTACTGAGCTGAAGTCTATAAATTTATGGATTGGAGCTTTATTACCATCCTGATATCAGTTAGTGTAATGCATCACAGGACTCAAATAATGTAATTGAAACTCTATAAGCAGGCAAGGAAATAAAGAAGGAAAACAAATCACCCTTAATCCTCCCATGAGAACACAACTGCATTCATTTCTGCTTACGTTTGTCTGAGCACCAGCTTCGGGACTACGTGGCCAGAGTCTGAGGGAGTCACTGCCAATGTTAACATGAGCACTCAGAATAGGAAATCTCCAGACCCAACTGAGTGGACATCAGGGCAAGAAATCAACAGATTCTAAATGGCAGTAAATTCACTTGCCTGGATCTTTATGGGCTGGAAAATACATTATGCAGAAAGAGGGTGCCAAGCAAAGATAATGGAATAAAAGAAATCTTTCTTTCTGAAGCACTTCATCATGTTCTTTGCAAGCAGGGTCAGGGGAACATGCAGCACCATTTTGACGTCTGTCTCAGGAAAAGGTTAATCTGGAGTTCAAGCACGCTGTATAGACACTAGGTGGTCTCTGAGGCTCAAAGACTGTTAGTAATTTTTTCCCTTTTTTATGAGGACACCATTTAGAAAGGCTGTCATTTCTAAATGGAAAAATGCTTCCAAAAATAAGGATTCCCAACTTGATTTTGTGGGCACAGAAGAGAAAAGGAAGGGAGGTACTTCCTTTGTGATTATCAAATTCTAGAGTATCTGTGGTAGACACTCAGGTTCCAAAATTAGAGCCAGCTTCTCAGTGTGCTTTAAATTCAAGCCGTCCATGTGACTGACCACGGCATGTTGGGACCTTATAATCGCGGACAATTTGAATTTACCTAATTTTATATTGGAGGAAATGTGAAATGTAAACTCTCAAGAGTCTATGAGTTTAGCTGTTTTTTCCACATTGCCATCTTTCCCAGATTTAGCTCTGACATGGAACAGAGGCTAGTGGTTCTCAGTGAATGTTCTCTTGAACAACATATGTTCCAATTCCAGCTGTACCACTTACTAAGTACCTGACTTTAGGCAAATTAGTCTCTTTGTGCTTTGATTTAAAAAGGAGATAATGGTATCACAGTTCTGGGGAGTGACCAAAAACTTTCAGGAGCATATAAGTAAAAAAAAAAATGCTTAGAGGCGTCTGTTAGGATTGTTGCTATTAATCATGTTCAACAAAGTACAACAGCATTCCTACAGTATCAGAAAAAAAATGTGGCAAGGATATAGTGAATACCATGAGGTTACTCACAATAGAAAGCTTGCTCTAGGTCAGAGAATCAAGGCTAACTTCGTGCTGTGATTCGTTACTCTTAGGAAATCTTGTCAGGATGAGGCTACTTCACAATGAAAACTTCTCTCAAACCCCGATAGCTGGAAGGTGGGAATTATCAGCCAATTCTCCAAGACAGACAGAACGCCAGGAAAGGGGGACTTCCTAAATTCCAGCAATCTTGACCTCCAGTGCTTTATTACAACATTGGTTGCTTCTGTTATGAGTCACTCTTCCTCAGCCCCTCGCACTGTGGCCATTTTATCTGGGGAGCTTGTGGTTACTTGGGACAAAACCTACCAAGAAAATTCTCCCTGATAGTTGGTTCCTTCATCATCATCATCATCATCATCATCATCATCACCACCATCATCATACCTCCCTCCTGCCATGGGAAAAGTCTGGTCCGTAGAAGTCTAAGCCCTGTAACAGCTCCTTATGTAGTGATATGCCTATTCTCTTTGTCCTTTCCTGCCTTGCTGGCTGTCCATTCCTCTGATTTTTCTAGGGCTGGTTCCTGGAAACAGTGCCAGGTGTCATATACATGACATCAAGGCAAATCTTCACAGTAACATTGAAAGGCAATATATTTGGCAATGCCTGCTTTCATCATGAGAAAACCATGGATGGGATGGGTGGAGAAATTCTGAACCACACACCTTTCATAAACCATGGCTGGGACATGGACACTCCTCTTGTGGCTCCAGTGTCATTTAGCTCTCCGTGGTTCCCATCCATCCACCCTGAGAGTTCTATGAATTAATAAATGTGCTGAGAATTCTTAGTTACTCTTCTTCTGAAAGCAGGGAAAAGTAAGATAGGGGATTCACTTGGTAGCACAGCATGACGCTGGACTTCGCTATTTTTCTCCAAATAAACTACAGGTAGTAGAACTACACATCTCATGTCCCCAGTCACCACCACCAAGCAGCTTTTGTGATGTCTGCATTTAGGAGAGTTGGCTCAGTGGCCAGAGATTCACATATCTATCACTACCTTTATCCTTTGCTCAGTGAAAACTTGTTGTTAATATAAAATAAACCCTATGCAGATAAAATTAAATAATTCCAGCACACACCCAATGACACAGTCCATTCTCTTATTTCTAAATTCCCAACTCATTGTGTGAACTTCACGGACAGCCAGGTTCTCATCAAGGCCAAGAAGAGAAGCATCAGAAACTACTGTTGATTGGTAAAGGGGTTAGCTATGGAGCTCTTTTCACCTTTGAGTTTTAAAGCCATAATAGAGTTTAGCAGTCTCACATGACATCTGATAAGACATGATTAAAAGGCTTAGCACTCTGACCTGAGGCAAGTTTCCCATCACAAATAATCTCATGGTATTCACTACATCACTACCACACTTTTCGCCAATATGGTAGCACTGCTATTGTACTTTATTGCACATCATTCATAGTAACAATTCTAATAGCTACCTGTTTTGACAGGTGACTATGTGTCAGACAATGCTATCACCCTAGACTGTGTGATGATTGCTGTCCTCATCATACAGATGAGGAAACTGAGTCACCTCTGTAGTACATACATCAGAAGTGAGTGTAAGGATTCAACAAATTAACACATGCAACTCCACAGTAAAGTATAGTATAGTATAGTATAGTATAGTATAGTATAGTAATTGTGTGGTGCAGTATAGTATAGTACAGTACAACATAGCATAGCATAGTATAGTACAGTACAGTACAGTATGGTTGAAGCAGTGTGCATAATGGTTAAAAGCACAGACCCCAGAGTTTGGATTCAAATCCTGTCTTTACCATTTACAAACAATGTGATCTTGGACAAATTATTGGGAAATCCCAGCAAGCTGGGATTCATTTTCCCCATTTCTAAAACACAGAACCCAATCCTTATTTTCCGGGGCTGTTTCTTTAAGATCACAAATGAAGATCCTCAATCTATGGAAGCATACATCAGCACTTCAAAAGCTCAATTTTAAGCATTCCTTGAGATGCTGTGTGTGACCTATTCTCTGAGCCTCAGTTTCCTCCTTTACTAGATTTGCTACGGCCCCTAGGAAACTTTGTGATTCGTACTCGTGTTTTCTGTATTAAACATGGAGCCTTTTTCTTTTCTCTGTTTGCTTAGTTGCCAAACTGAGATGTTGCCAAACTTAGTTGCCAAACTCAGATGCATATGGGATATTCATTAAATCTTTTGGAATGGTTATAAGAAAATATGAAAAACTGGTGATGTTAAAAAAAATATCTCTGAGCTTGTTAAATGCCTCAGAGCTAGAATAACCAAGCAAAGGTCTCAAGCAGTGGTACTACTGCATTGTCAGCCTGTAGATCACATACATCACATGACTAGTGGCAACTTCTAGTATTACTACTGGTACTGGTTAATCCCTAAGTTTGGACTTTTCGACAATTTCAGCATGTAGAGAAATTAAGTATGAGTAGACCTCCACCCTTAGGACAAGTCTCTTAAAGTGGACCCTAAACCATGAAAGCCTTACCAGAGAAGGAATTGTCAAATGAACAGTGAGCCATCTGGACACCTGATTATAACCAGAATTTTTAAAGTACAGGTTGACAGTATTGTGCAGGGTTTGATGTACAAGAGAGAAAGCTAGCGTATTAATCTAAATTCAGAAGACATTCATCTTAGTGCCCAATGGAGAGTAAAAAATAACCAACAATGATTTCAATATCTTCCTTTGAGTCAAAGTTAGAAGGAACGGTTGATGTAAACTGAAAGACATTGGCTATGGAATTTGATCTATGCCTCTGGCACCCTTTAGCCATGAGACCTAAGTTTATAACATAAACGCTCTAAGTATCACTTTATTATTCTGTGAAATTGGGACAGTGACTGACCCTTTTCTTCAGGATTGCTGGGCATGTTCAAAGCATTTCCTGTAAAGTGTTCACCACTTCAGAGGTAAAAATAAGTGAATTTCAATGTCTCCCTAGTTCTTTCCTCCTAATGAATCTCTTGGGACTTGGTTGTTCCAATTTTTGGAATTTTGTTTCTTCTGCAACTATATCTCTTATACAGAATGTGACTCACCTACCCCCATATTTCCTGATATCACAGAATCTAAGAGAGGAAAGTAAACACTACTTGTAGAGTCCAAAAGTCACATGCTCACATGTCTTAAAGAGTCAAGCTGTGGCGGCAGGTGACACTGACCATGTGTAAGTAATAAGGAGCAGAGGAGAATATGGTGAACTGGAAAGCAATTATCTCACGAGACACTAAAATTCTGTTTTTATAACACATTTCAAGGCAGACAGAGTAAGGTTCTGAGCTGGCTTCAGCTCATGAACTACCAATTCTGAATATTTCTCCTATTTGCTGATGAGGAAATTGAGACACTGGGAGTTGTGAGAGAATATAAGAACTCCAAAAGCTGCCTCATTGTTTGTTTCACTTTAAAGAAGGACAGAAACTGTCTTCTGCCTTAACTGAAGCTCCTACTGGGAGTGGGAATGATGCTCTTGAAATGAAGATTTCAAAGAGTTTTATTTCATGTTATAAAGTCAATACAGCTTTGGATGATTTGAAGATTGATGCTTTCAATGACTCCACATACACACAAGGAGCTGAAAAGTTGGCCTGAGTAGCAGATGTGATCTTCAGGTTTACGGAGAAGCAATATATTTTAATGGCCTCTTGGAAGACTGTATGTTCTGAATTTTTTATAATAATGAATACATATGGCAAAATAGCTTTAGTAAAAGCAAAAATATGTGCTATTTGTAATAAAATGTTATAGGCTATATTGAAGAATCTCTTTATTCCATTATTTCATCACTTCTGCCCTCACCCCCCTAATGTTGAAAGGAGCATATTTTAATGAAAGAAAAATTGGATCAACGATGAGTTGACATCAGCCCCAGTCCCAGCCCTGTCAGCTCATGACTCCTGGTGTATCCTTGGACAGTCAGCAATGCTTCCTGGAACCTGAGTTTCCTCATTTATTACATGCGCATAGAATAATCCTACATCTCGGGATTACTAACAGTCAAGTGACAGCCAATTGCCATGTGTAATACAAACAGAAGGGATTCACATGAGCCTGCTTCTTTCCTGCCACAATTTTTTCCCTTTGGAAGTTGCCAATAATTCCTCTTCTGTTCTTTCCTTCATTATGTGTTCTCCAGAGGAACTGAATAGAGGAAATGAAATTCAAGTAGCCTCTGTCAAATGGAGTTAGTGAGGAGGGGGGATCAGGGAAGAAGGTTGTTTTTATGCCTCCTATCCTAACTTCACTCACCTTACAGTCACAATCTGCCCTCCGTCCAGGACAACACCATTCATCTGGGCTATAAAAATGGCAGCCACGGCTTCATAAAGGGCTGTGCCATCCATGTTAATGGTTGCTCCAACTGGGAGGACAAATCTGGTTACACGCTTGTCAATCCCCAGATTTTCTTCCAGGCAACGGAAGGTGACAGGCAAAGTTCCAGCACTAGGGGAAGAAGGAGACAAAGAGAGAGGAGGATGGAGGGAGGGAGGGAGGGAGAGACAGAAAGAGTGAGAGATTGAGAAGTTATGTCTGCTTTGGAGAAGTAGGACGAAGCACAAACTAGAATAACACTACAAAGGTTTTGTTCTTTTGTTCCAGTCAGGCAATGTTACATGCAACAAAGCGGTATTCAGCCAAATTAAAATCCAGAGAGTTAGAGGCTCAAATGCAATCTTATTAAGATTCTAATAGGCAAAAAAAATGTTTTCATTGGTCTTGACTTTTGAGATTTACTCAGCATTTTGAGTTCCCTTCTTATTTAGGGCACCATTGTCATCTTGGATTAAATATTAAAACACATCTGAATGCCCACATGAACTGGGCTGCAAAAAAACCCAGTATTGTGTCAGAAAAGGATCCACCGTCAACAGTAAAATGGAATGAAAACTTTTTGAGTGACCTATTACTTCATGGTAGAAATGCTGTCTCCAACAAAATGATGACATGGATTGCATCTGACCCCTGGGAATTGCCCTGAGCTGGGCCTGCTAATTTGGAGAATGTGGGGAAACGTGTCCAGTAACCTCAGCAAGTAACCTGCACAATTCACTGAGGAAATCCACATGTAGTTGAAATCCTGGATATAGAGGCATTGCCAGTTCTAAGTCTCTACAATGACATGGTAAATGTGACATCTGTAGCTAATGAAAGGCACAGTATGGGCTGGGGACTGAACCACACGACCCACCCTCAAAGGCTTGAATTCCTGACATGTTCCCATGTTTTCTAAAACAGGAGACCTATAAGAACAAGGGTTGCTGAGAGCCAGAATATTATTTCCTTGTGGGTAGAGGTACATGGGAAGTTGAATAGATTTGCTTCAAAGTTTAAGTAAAGTAAAAAACAATGCAGCACTCTCAAATAACATGGAAGTGCCCTATGGTACATCCTGTTTTGATTTTTTTTCTGTTCAAGTCCTAGCAAGACAAATTGGAAAATCTCCACTGCAGGTAGCATTTAGAGGTGTTTTTTCTCTCTTGCACTTATAACCTTAGTCATAGTTACCATGTTCTACTAGTTAGGGGCGTGGGTTGGGGGCTCCAACCAGGCTGGGTGCAGATGTAACATTCTCAGTCTCTCAGAGTGGAAAAAAAAAGCAAAATGCAGCTTAGTGAAATGCAGATTCCAGGGTCTTCTCAGAACTAAGCAGCTCAGAGCTTTAAAATTGGAGATGCATAAATCTGCATCATAAACTGACCTGCAAAGCCCTGGCATCCTTAGAGGAGCCTGAGTTAACCTACCAGAGCAGTCTTTATGATTACAGGTTAGGAGTCTCTGCAGTGCCTCCTTATTGCACTTAGGATGATGAAATGAATATTTGAGAATGTCTCATAAGTAAAAACTTGTTAACCTAAGTGAAAATCTGGGGTGCATTTGCATGTAGGTGATGCTGCTGGACCTGGATTGCTGCCCCAGCTGTTTTACTAAGAAGTTAGTGTTTATTCCTCTCATCCCTTCTCATCCTTTTCTGGGACTCTTCTAAAAGGTTGGCAGAACCCTATGACTAGTCTAAAGTCTTCATTTGTATGGCTCTAAGCATATTATTGGGGTCACTGAAATACATTAATTATTACTGCACTCATTTTTCTGATATGTCTTCAAAAGGTCTTTAGACAATTACAGAGGATGGGAAAAACGATTGGCAAGGTTTGAAAATAATGCCTATTTCTGTATTAGATCGGTGTTATATTTGTGTCTTACAAATTCACATTGCCCACTCAACCCAAATTGGACTTGAGAATTTCAACGCTTTCCTGTGTTGACAGGCTAACATCCTGGCATTCCTTTTGACTCCTACCTCAAAAGTCATATGGCCATCTTTAAATGTTGCTAATAATAATGTCAGATACTTGAGATTTCTTTTCCAGACTAGTTTTGACAGCATGCACTGCAATCAGAGGGATGCACAGAGGTATGTCCTGGGCCACACCCTCCACCCATCCTTGATACCAATCTCTGTATCCACTCAGAAGAGCTGGTCAACCACCTTGGATATCCTCAGTCATATGAGGCCCAAGGTGGAAGACAGGGTACTTACTAGGATGACCTAGGCTTGTGCTTTTTTCTCCTGTGGTCCTAAGTTTTGCATTTTTCTCCCATTACGGCAAGGGACCCCTGAGTTTATTCTTGGTTGTTCTTATATAATTCCTGCCACATTGCTTTTTTTTAAAAAACAAGGAAAATTTACATCAAGACAAAAAGCCATATTTTAAGTGAAGATTAAAACCATACCCTTTTCAAATGCTATAAAGGTAAGGGAAGGAATGTGTCTAACATTTTCAGCCTGTGCTAAATAACACAAGCATTTGTCTTCGTTTTAGATAGCAAGATGAACCACCCACATCCCTGAAAGGTTTACAGTGTCCTAAAAATATCCTGGGATGAGGGTCTAATCATTCGAAAGAACATCATAATATTATTGAAATATTTTAAAAATCAAAATCACCAAGGCACTAGAAGAAAATATAAAGTAATATTTTGTAGTTATGAATGGAACCAATATGCCTGAACAAAACTAAAATGCTAAATAGAGTGTAAAACATTCACGGCCTTGACTACATACAAATTAGAAACTTCTAGTGACAAAAATGCTTTAAACGTTTAAGGCAAATGTCAAATGGAGAACTGTGGGCATTTTTTGGAACATGTGCCATAAGAGTGAATATTCTTATATATAAAGAGGATTTTGTGTATGTATCTGATATTATTACCAACATTTGAAGATGATCATAGGCTTTTGAGGCAGGAACCAATCAGGAAAAGATGAAAATCCCAAAGGAAAATAAGCTGGTTCACATATAATTCAAGAGGTAGAGGAAAGAACAATCAATAAGAACACAAAGATACGTTTTCCCTCATCAGTAATCAAAGATGTACAAATTCACTAAGATACTTTTTTAACCAATGTGATTGGAATGCACTGAAGTAATTGACATATGGTCCAGGATATCTAGCCCTGGTGAGTAGGTGGGGAAGGGCTCACTCTCAAATCCAAAGGGAACATAAAATAATGTGCTTTCCTAAATTGCAATCTGATGATACATTTCAAAACTGTGCATACCATTGGACTAAAAAACTCCACTTCTAGAAGTGTATCTTGAGAAGATCATCAGACGACTTTGCAGAGCTGTATCTATAAGGATGCTTGTCACAGCTCTGATTTCAATAGATATACTTGAAATATACACTACTGGGTGGAGTGAGGTAGACTTTGTATCACAGTTCGTATAGTTTACAAAATAACAGCAAAGATCTATATTAATAGATATAATAGAATTTTTTAATATTGAACAGTGAAAAAATAGCAGTTCACAAGTACATAGTAAGAACTGGAAAGATATATAAAGATTAACTAAAAGGTTACTATCAATTACCATTTGGTGATACAGTAAGTAACTGGTGATGTCCACCGTTTTCTTCAAAATCCTACCCACTGTCTGAACTTTATCACAAAGAGCAAATACTATGTTATAATCGACAAAAAAAATTAAAGTAAGCAAGATTGTTTTTGGTCTGGAAAAGCAAAGATGTACTTTTTCCTTTAGGATCTTTATAATTAGAGATATTTAGCCACAGAAAGATCTACGGAATCAAAAAGGAAAAGGGAAATATCAAAGTGTTTTCCTTTATCTTGGGAAACAAAATGCCAAACCTGGGTTCTCAAGGTTGTATGTTTTTCTGCTTTTCTTTTCTGAAAGCCTATATTTTATTAGTATCAACTTCTCATTGCATTGCAAGATGGAGGTCATGATTTGGCTTCCCAGCTGGTCACCACTGTGGGTCTGTTACGTCACCTAAAGAAACCCTCACTGTTTGCTCAGTGGCCTGGGAACAGCAGGCTACACTGTCACGAAAGGCCAGCTCATCAGCCACGTATGACCACAGGCTCAGCAAGAACATGGCCTTGGAGTTGTGGGTGTTAGGGTTGGTGACCTCCTACTATCTGTCTTGTGTTTTGTGACCCAGGAACTTATATGCAGAAATAAAGCTACTGCAGGATAAATGAATAAAATTCTATGATTCTTTGAGCTTCTAAATTGTCAGGCATCACTTGTATATTTCTTTTTCTTTGCTTTGTTTTTACTAATTTTAGTCCATTGAAAATTATTAGCAGGAGTATGGTGGAGCACACTCATAATCCCAGAACTCTGGGAAGCTAAGGCAGGAGGATTCCAAATTTGAGCCCAGCCAGAATAACTTAGCAAGACCCTGTTTTAAAATAAAAAATAAAAAATACAAAAAGATTTGGGATATAGCTCAGTGCATAGGCCCTGGGTTTAATCCTCAGGACTGCAAAATAATTTTCTTTACATATATCTCGAGTCTTTGTTAGCTTTCTAATCACTGAAACTAGGTTTTGAAGGAGGAACTGGGTCTCTATTAAGGTCAAGTCAAATAAGCTTGATTAAAATTAAACTGAGACAAAACGATCCATTAGAAGTTCACGCCAAGGTCAAAGAATTGGCTGACTTCTACTTATTTGAAAAATCTCACTTAACATATCATGTACCCTGTAAAAGCTGGTTCTCCTACTTTTGGAAAATTAATTGCGGGAATCTCAATAGAGTGCTACTTGATGATAATATTTTCCCAATCACAGGTGGGATGTTAATTGTACAACATCCTGTTATACCATTCTGCAAAAAAAATTAAAGCTAAACTAAATTAATAGTTTATGTACTAAGTTAAGCATGCAACTTAATAGCATGCATTCATTTAAAAATGTAATATAAGATCATATCTCCAACACAGTTGCGTACCAGCAAAAATGCTCAGCAGCAGGCTCAGAAGTTTCTAGAAGAAGCCAAAAATTCCCCTTTTCAAAAAGATTTTAATAATACATGAAGAGTGTGCTCACTGAACATTGTGACAGGAAAATTTTGAACAACAAACAGAGCAAAAGAGCATGCAGGAAGAAAGGTGATTTTTCTGTACTCTCTACCTGGAAGCAGTGCCCAGGGCAGTAATCCACGCTTGGAAAATGCCAGCAAAAAAGGAGAAAGGGTTTTTCCTGGTCACTACGAAGTAAATCAAAGGGAGAAAGATGCCCCCATGGATGATGAGACCCACGATCACTGTTATCATGTACATCCCCAGTTGCCTAGCGACCACTTCTAAGTCCTTGATTGCAATGATCTTCCCACAAATGAGGCAGGCGATACCCAGGGGAGAGTACCTGAAAAACACAAAAGAAAAGAAAGACAGTTGAGGAGATCATTATTGGATTCAGAATTTAAATCTGAGCCCTTCAATGTACTGCACCCTGAAGGAAACCTTTCATTTTCTGCATAAAAAGAGTTTTGCTGAGAAAGGATCATGAGATTCAATAGATGTTATTTTTTACTTCAAACTAACTACCTTAAGTCTGTTTTATGGATCTATGACGCCTGCTCTGACATAAAGTCCAAAGGCCAACTTTGTTTTTTAGGTGAGTTTTAGGACAAAGGAGACACACCTTACTATCTTTTAGCTTTATTATCTTTCAGGTAACCAACAGGTTGAAAGTTGAGAGACACGGGTTGTGTCTTTGTGAATCTTGTTTGATTTCTGTGCTCTCCAGCTCCTTCCTAGAAATTTGGGAATAATTTTTGGAGCTTTTCAGAAATTTATAAACTGGGGTAATGTAAATTTGCATTGTTTGTTGCCTTGGAAGGCAGGGAATATATTAAAATGGGAGCAAGAGAGAGAAAGAGAGAGAGCAACTTGCCAAAACAAGAAAACCATCTGAGCCAAAGAGTACATTTAGAGAAATGTAGTTTATGACTTTTAAGCCTGAAAGTATTTTTGCACCACTTTAACGGTAATGTTGGCCACCATCCATTGCGTTTCAGTGTGGGAGAGCCCCATACTAAGCTTCACTTAATTCTTACCGCAATCCTAAAATCTAGGTGTCCTTATTTTTATTTGGAAAATGAAAAGCTATACTTTGGAAAACCTGAATCACCAGCCGAAGGCCACAAAACCAGGAAGTAAGAGAACAACCACAGGTCTGTGAAACACCTCAGCTGGGGGATTTTCCCCTATCAACCCAAGTCCTTTCCCTTTCGTGAGCAATCATAGCACTTTGTAGATAAGGAGACAATCCATCATATGACGATTTATTCCATATAAAATTATTTTATATTTCTATATTATCTTTATTTTATGGAGAGCCGGAAATTACTTTGGCTTCCACTCTTGGGAAAGCTAACCGTTTTCTCTCACTCCTTGAGTTTATTCTTTGCAATTCTGACCGCATTTTTTTTTTTTAATCCAAGTGATATTGCTGGGGCCTGAATTTGTTCACGCTGTGACAGTTATTGACTGAAATAAAAATATTTTGGGGAAGATTGCTACCTTGTTAAAAAATTATAAGCATATTTGTAAGAATGACTATGGAGAAAATAAATTTCCCAACAAGGTTTCAAGGGTAAGAGAGTCAAGAAAGAAAAAAATACTCTCTAAATAGCCTTTTTTCAATTATGCCTGGATCAAGCTGTGAACAGAAGTAGAAAGTCATACATACAACTACAGGAGACTTTAAGTTTTCCCAGGCACTTACAGCTTAATCCCTTGTTTAGCGGCTTATTCCCATTTTATAGACCAGGCTAACTTCATCCTCACCAGGTTGCTATGAGGATTAAACTTTTGAAGATGCACACGTGTACCCTCTTAAAAATCCCTCCCTGTTTCTATCAGTACCAATTGCTCTCTGGCTCCTGAGAAAATGATTCTGTATAGGTTCTATTTTCACACATAGATCCCATGTCCTCTTACTATCCATGCTGAATGATAGTCAGGTCTGAGTTAATGAGCCGCCCAATGGCGGATGCCTTTATGAGCAAAGTAGTCTCTCAAGAGGAACCTTACCCTGAAAGAACTGATTAGTAACTGACAGTGATAAGTTATTGCATTAGCATAGTTGCTCCTCCCTGATGAGCATGGAGCCTGAACATCACCTATCCCCTTCTAGGGGTGCAGATTGGCTCTGTTTGAAGATGGCTTCCCTAGCCATTAGAGAGCTTGAAACAGACCTTCTGAAACGTCATTAAATCTTGTTTTCCCTACCATTTTACATTTTCTTCGTGTCCCCATAGTCATGACATCTCATAAATCAACAGGATTGTCTCAGAGGCTAGCACTTTGTCACTGAAGTAGCAAGTAACTGAACAGGATGCCCCATGCTGTAAAGCAGAAAGCATTTATCTACATAAACCAAGAGATCAATTCTTGCCCGAACACCAATCACCCTTTAAAGAGGTCCAGAAAACATAGATATGAGCTGTTTTGGGTGCCATTCAATTTTCCTCCTTTTCTGGGTCCAGAAATTTATAGAATGGAGAGAAAATGTTTACAAGGTTCTTTACCAAGGAGACTAGCTGTGGAGGTCCCTGGAGAACGCGTTTGAGCTCAAGCCGGATGAACCAGACAGAGGCAAGAGTTTACCTCCAGAGCATGCAACTTGCTGGGAAAAGTATGAACCTCCACTGTAACTGGAGAGCATTGCTCAAAGGCCAGGAGGTGAAGTTTGGGGTTAATAAATATTGAACGCAGTAGCTTGTGTTAACCCAAGCACTTTGGTCTCCGGAACTAGGTTAAGCATTAATTACAACAAAGAAACAGCCTTCATTTCTATGATGCTTTTTAGAGCCATTAGTTCCCTGTAACTGTTTTGAAAGCAAGGAACAAGTCTCTACTCAGGAGCTAAGGCTTCTGAGTTCCTGGGCTTCCCTATCAAAGAATTATCTCATTGCAAATGATATTCCATGGAAAAGAAAGGGCAAATGCTCAAGATCTACAATATCTGAAATGAAGCAAACAAAGCCACAAATCAAAATGCAGAGGCTCAAGGATCCACTGAGAATACTAAAATCAAATGATCACAGGAACTGACCCGCCTGTAACTAAATTCCTAAGATATGAGCATTGATTGAGCTAGGAGGAGGGAATGGCTTCCATGCTGCCTTTAGATTTAGCCCTGGGGGCCTTTAGATGGTCATATTCTCGCTCACACACTGTTTTCAAGGCCACTGTTCTTCCACGATTGGCTTGTGTGAGTCTTTTCCATGCTCTTACCTCATCCATTCTGGCCTCCATTCACCTTGAACCTCAGCTCCTCTCAGCCTAAAGGTTTCACCAACATGCCCCACTCCCCAGGGCTACTCTTTATTCCACAAAGTCATCTATAGCACTCAACATACCTAGAACTCAATCCGTGTCTTTATCATGGGCCAGCTGCACCAGAATCACCCTGACTGCCTGTTAACAAACTGTCTTCCCTGGACTCACCATCTAGGGTTGGCCTTAGGACTTTTACATTTTAAATATGCTCCCAGGTAATCAATCTGATGTACTTAGAAACCAATATTTTAAGGAACAAAAATCTTATCTTCAGATGATGAGATGCAGATTAGCTATTGGAAGCCATTTACTTTATTTTTTTAATTTTGTTTTGTTTTTCTTCTGGTACCAGGAATCGAGCTCACGACCTTGTGCTTGCCAGGCAGGCATTGTGCCACTGAGTTAAATCCCCAGCCCTGGAATCCATTTACTTTAGTTCCAGTTTACTCAAGACTTTTAAGGTTAAGGGTTAAGGCTTGGGACAGGTGGTAGGAGAGACACATGAGGTAGAGTTAAATCAAGGAAAGTTCTCAGTCCTTCCCTAAGGCCTCTGTGGTTCCCATTGTTTCCAATAGCAATGCTGAGTTTGGCAATCTGGGATGGACCCATAGGAAATCCAGAAATGGGAGAAACCATCAATAAAGAGTTAGATACTCATCCCAAGACTTGTCTAAAGGTGCTGTCTGCATTCACGTACAGGAACTACTTTGATCTCCATTTCTCCTTATCCATGTATGGATAGGTATTCTGGTTAGCCAAAGGGTGATTTTTGTTGATAGCTACCAAGTGTAGATCAGAACTTTTATCAGAATAGAGTGAAAGTCAGTTTACAGAGCTTGCATCCTTGTGACCCCTTAGTGACTTCATTTTGCAGCTAAACCTTAACCCATCAGGTGGCATGCAGGGGCCTTAGGGTTCTGCCTACTGCCTATCTCTCCAACCAAACATACTCAGGCCAACCAGCCCTTTATTCTGGTTCTCAGAAAGTTCTCACTGACCATCTCCTCCCCTGGGACCATTCTCCCCTCAGTTCTTCACCAAGCTGCCTGCCCACTGCCCATCCTTCGGGTCCTCCTGCTGTCACCTTTCCACACAGCCCAGTCTGTCCCTCACTGCCGTCACACTCCCCACCATCCAGCACTCTGTCCCACAGCTCTGCTTTGTCATCTCCACAGTGCTTAGTGCTATCTGAATTCCTCCTTACTTCTGGTTAGCCAGCTTTTTGTCACTGTAACTAAATACTTGAGAAAATTAACATAAGGGAGGACAGGTTTATTTTGGTTCATGGTTTTCGGTCATGTTTGGAGCAGGAGGCTCCAAGGCAGAAATATTATGGCAGGACAATGTGGTGGGGAAAACCTGCTCACATCATAGCACCCAGGGACCACAGAGAGAGGCAGAGAATCCAAGAGGAGGGGCCAGGGACAGATAGAGTCCCCACGGTCATGCCCCTGTGATCCATTCCCTTCGCTAGGCCTGTCTCTGTCACCTCCCAGTAATACCGGCACATTATGATCTCATCTGTGGCTTAATTTACTTGATGAAGTTAGAGCCCTCATGAGCCAATCACCCTTCTAGCTCCTACTTCTGAACACTGCCACCTTAGGGATCAAGCCCACAATCCATGAACCTATGGAGGGGTATTTCATAATTAAACCATAACAGCTTCCTTTTACTTTTCCCTCTCTTTTTCATTAGAATATAAGTTCCATGAAGGCAGGAACCCTCTGTCTTATTCATCATTATATAACCAGTGACTAAAATCATTACTGGCACAGCTATTGAAAGAACAGCTGGGTTCATAAAGACTCTTTGTTTGACCAGACTGTCATCAGATTTCTCAGCCTTCTGGGCCCATCTGCACACTTCCCTGGCAAAATCAGTTTTAGCAAAGAACCCTGCTGAGTCAGTTTAGCAAGAATCCCCAGCCTCAATCTGATTACCCCCCATATCTCAGCAGGTTCCTCATCCTGGACCATTCACCAGATGATGTCTGTTCGCAGTGGCCCGTCTTCAGCTAGAATCCTGTTAAGTCAGTCTAGCCAGAATCTTTCTCACTCTTGATGGTGAGTAGTATCCCTCAATAACAATTCCTGCTTTACCAGTGTAGATAGATAGTTGGGTTGGGTGACAAACTGGCAGCAGTATTTTGAAGTAGGGGCAAAGATTTTATTTCTTATTTTATGTCTTCATAGCGGGAGGTTATGAAAAGTTTTACTTTCTGTTTAAGGTTTTCAGATTCCAAAAATGAAAAGACTAAAAGAACTTTGAAAAAAATGAGGATATGAAAACCACTCCAAAATTAAGGGTTTTTTTGGGCTTCTTCAAGAAGTCCACACACAGAGATACAGAGAATATGGATTAAATTGATGATGACAATGGTACAAACAAGGCAACCACAGTAATGCCAACACAGTAATGCCAAAAGTGCCAAGAGAGTTCCCGACACAAAGAAAACATTCCATGACTGTGATTCACAATCTACAAATTGCTTCTCACAGCAACAATAGACTACAGTCGTCTCACTTTAAGGATCCAGATACTGGGGTTTAAAATGTGTCTACTTTGCCTAAGGTCATACAGCTTGTTACAAGAGGACCCTGGATCCTGTTCAATCTGAAGTCAGAAAGAAATTGTTAGGTACCACCTCTGCACAGCTCACAGCAGAGGGCAAGTCAACCTCTGTGCTTTCTCATCTGGAAAGTGGGTGAACAAAAGTGCTTATTTTTGTTAGGTAATATTACGGGGGAAAACTGATTTAATGCATGTAAAATATTTGAGATAATATTAAGCATATAGCAGGAATTTGGTAAAGTTTAGATATGACTGAATAATAACAACATTTCCTCGCTAATAAATGGACTAATACACCTACAATAATAGCAATAGTACTGAATAAATATCAGTTCTAGATCACAATTTAATAACTATTGTCTTCTCACTGTTAATTTTTACTGTTACTGCTATTCTTTCTAGCACATACAAAAAAATACAAAAAAACCCCAATTATTTCAGCTTTGAATATTCAGTTAAACAGCAGTTGGCTTTTTTAATGGAAAGTTATGCACATCATTATCAAATATGAGGCAGCTAAAGAATGTAAGGAATACGTAGAATTGGCACCTTCTGTCATAAAACATGCTCCTGACTGTTTGCTAGGGTGAGGTAACCCAACAGCTGTCAGTAATCATTCCCTAGATCTCATTTCTGCTTCACAGTATCATGTCATTCCCCTGGAGATGAGGCTACACTTTCGGAGTTTTGGTTCCAATGCATGGGAAAGTCTCTGTCCACACCACCCTCTCCCCTTGGGGAGAAGGGAGGCTATACTTTATCCCACAGACTCATCAGATTTCTGGATGATTCCCTTTCCTAAGAGTTGGCTCAACAGAAATGATATAGGCGTGGATGAAGGAAAAAAATTTGCTCATATTAGGCACATCATTAGTGTCATATACAGAAATATGAACTTCATCTTCAGAGCCAGGATGTACATTTTATGAGAAATAAGGCCAGATCCTGATGCTTAAGGGACATATTCTATTCTAGGTATTATTATTTATTAAACTCTCAGCAGACTTGTATGGATCTGAAGGGCTCAAAGGATACTTGGTACAGCATTGCCATGTCATCTGAAATTTTCACACAGACAAAATACAGTGCTGCTTTGGTTCACAAACTCAATTCTCTCCACAATTCTGGTCACAAACCAAATTGGAGGACTAAGTCAAATCTCCTCATAAGGTCAACATTGAACCTAACCACTGAATTTGATTCAGTTCTTGTCCAACTTGGTTTGGTTTGCAAACAGAATTGAGGAAAGAATTAAGTTCGTAACCGAGGTACGGCTGCAATCAGAATTCTAGCACTGCCTGGGAAGCTGATTTTGGATTTCCTAGCCTCTAAAACTGTGAGCAATAAATTTCTATTATTTACAATTTACTCAGACTAAGGCATTTCTATATAACAGCTGAAGTGGACTAAAATAATGCCCTTATTAAAGAAACTCCAGAGATCTGTCTTGTCCTCTTTCTACCACGTGAGACTACTAAGAGAAGTTGGTCATCTATAGTCCAGAAGAGGCTCTTCAGCAGAACTCAACCATATTAGCACCTGGTCTCGGACTTCCAACCGTCAAAACTATAAGAAATAAGTTCTGCTCTACACAAACCACCCAATCTGTGATACTTTATTATTCTAACAAAACCCATTCTCGACTAATAGCAAATTTTATGTCATACATCAGATGTGGCCTAACGGTCATCAGTTGCTAGCACCAGCTCTAGGGGAAGCTCAAATAAGGGGATTTCCACTCCTTTCTCAAATTTTTTCTGGAGAGCCATTTGACATTCCACACCCACTGTTTTCTGCTGGGAGGACTCCAGTATCCTTTGGGGACTCCAAGGTCTTCTCATATCCCACTATGATGAAGTAAGAACAAAAGAACTTACCACATGATCATGATCACCAACTTCATTACGATTTCATTCAGAATGTTGAAGAATTCCACCATCAGCTTGGCCTGCTCTCCCATCTTCCCCATAGCAATGCCAAAGGCAATGAAAAACCCTATCAGACCTGTTGGGTGAATCACATCACACAGAGGGTCAAATTATAAAGTATGTTTTCTTTTCCTGATTCTTTATCATTCTTCACACGTGGAACAGTTCACATGTCACTGCCATTTAGCCTACAAGTTAGGAATTATGAGACAAAAACATTATATTCCACATTGAAAGTGCTTTCTTCTTGGATAATTGTGACTTTCCTTAACATTTTTTACATAATCAGGTTAAACTGCAAGTGTACCTGTAGTTCCTTAAAGAAAAGTCATTCAATTTCATTCCAAACTAAAAGGCATTCTCTTCATCCCCTCATGAAATTTTGTGAAATCACGTGTAAGCAGATTCCTTTATTACACAGATTAACAAAGAAAGGCTTGTTGGGACTTGGGGATTGACATACAGACTTTGGAGCCAATCTTGGAACAACAGAGACCAATTAGCCAATAAAGTCTTTGCTGAGGTGATTTTGGAGTGATCTTGAATTAATTCTTGGCTGGTATGTTTCACTCTTGAAAATTCCTAAATGCAAAGTTATATTTCTGTTGCTGCACACCTAGCATAAGCAGGAGGAGCTGTGTTGAAAAATAAAGTGGAAAATAGTAAGAAATCCAAAATAGGTCTAACTTACCTAGTTTTCTAAAATGTAACCTATTGTTTATATTCAAAATTGCCATAGTTCATTTTCATCTCATAGTCAAAATGGTTAGAATGTTTCTCTCCTTCCGCCGTCCCAGTCTTTTTCAGGTTTATAAAGATTCACCATCGGATGTTGCCCTTTCCTAGCTGCTCAGTGTTCTTCTCCTTCACTTGATAGCGTGATTAAGGCCTGCACCACTCCAGGGTAATTTGGGGAGCTCAGTCCCCGCACCTGATATCAGCTCCAAACGGCACTAGGGCCTGGACCAAGTGCAACACATGACCCCAAGTCTTCTTATTTCTGTGCTAGCTTTTCCTCATCACCTGTACCTGAGGTCCTGGGAATGTGCCCTCTAGTTCAGTTCCTGCAAGAACAGGTCTGGTTTATTTCTCTCCAAGAGATGCTTCCCCACAACTCAAGCCAGTCCTTCCCACCATTCTCCTCAGTATCTCCCCCTGACCCACCCAGAAAGTGGGGCTCACTATGGGGCTAACATATTCCCAGTACTGCTTGAAGGGTGTCTGGCTTTCTGTTTGACAATTATTATATGCTCCCCTACTCCTGAGACATTCTTCTCTATTTTGGGGCCCCAATTCTAGCCACTTACGTAGATTATAAATCAATACTGCTGTACCCTTGGCTATAAGACTTTGCCTGCCCACCAGACTTTTTCTCTGACATTGAAGCATGAGCCATCTTCTCATCTGTCTTCCTCTATCCTCTTCCCCACACCTACCTTGCCCCAGTTTGGCAGGCCTAATTCTTAGTCCTCCCACATTATATCTAGTTTCCTATCATGTCCAGTTATGTCTGGAGTTTTGACCAGTGTCAGATAAATTATAGCATTATGATTTGATTCTCTTAGAGAGGAACTCTTTCTCTCCAAACCTCTAATGCTATCTTTCCCCTAGTCACTGAAAATGCTAGGCTTACTACCCCAAGTACCTATCAACCCAGATTGATTACCCATTGCAGGATCTTCTCTTCAGTACAAAAAAATCACCCTTACACTCTGGACTGCAAATACATGTACTTAATAATTAATATCTCCCTTCTTAGCTCTCAGAGACTTTGACAAGCGACTTCCCATGTGAGTTAGTAGCTCAAGAAAGGCAACGACTTCCTGAAGATTAGACCCCAATCAGAGCGAACTACTTCTGCAGTATGAAATCAGTTTCAGGCTATTGCTGAACACAAACCCATGGAGGACAATTTGATGGGTATGTGGTGAGTAACAATAAATCTGACTATTGTGACTGAAAATACCTACTACTACTCCATTAAAGCCATTTGAAAAATTTAAGAGAAAATGCTTAAGTCCCAAGAACTTGAAATGAGAAAGCTCCCCTTAGGGCCAGCAGACCTGGCCATATCTGTGAGTACAAAGGAGAGATTTGGGGGAGAGAAATAGATCCTTAATGATGTGGGAGACCCAGCCAGAACTATACTATATTCATTTATTTCAGTGCTCAATCTCTGGGACTTTCCAAAGCCAAAGAGCAGAAAGACAGAAAAACAAAACAAAAAAAGGCCACCATCTCCATCTTTGGAAGACCATGGAAAGAACCTGCTTTTCAGCCATGCTTGGTAAGTGGGAAGTTTCTCAACACTTCTAACTTCTCTTGGCTTCCCAGAGCCTTGATCTGCACTTGGATAGAAACCCACATTCAGCTTGCCATTTCCCTCCATAAACATTGCCTAATTGAAATCACTCACTGAGACCGGGGTGTTCCACTTGAACAAAGCCTTCTTACACTTGGTCACTGGAGTTGAAAGAGGAGCAAGTTATGTTGAAACTGCTCAGCACAGCCAAAGGTCATGTGATTTCCCAGAAGCCACTGAAATGACCAGGATGTGATTGTTCCACTCCAAGGTCTTTGGCTTTTGCCTCAGGACCCCAGTCTCTTTCAGAGTGTGGGGGATACTGTGACAAAGAGGGCTGGGTCTTCTTCATGACCTTCCAGAAGAGACAGTGAATGTTGGGGAGGTTCTGGAAGGGTCACAGAATCTGGGCAGCAGGAGACGGAGTGCTGAGAATGTTTGTGAAACCTCTTTCTGGGGTTAGGGTGTAGCTCAGTGGTACAGGGCTTGCCTGGCAAGTGCAAGGCCCTGAGTTCTAGCCCCAGTATCGAAAAAACACAAACAAAAAAGACTCCCTTGAAAGTTTAGCTCAAAACTTTTCTTCAGAGTAACTCTCCCACTTTCTCCTCTGAGTGTCAACAGCGTTTACTGATCTTTCATTGCCTGGCAACTCAGGGAGCTTATCTCCTCCCTGCTTCTCTCACTTTCCAACCCACTGCCCGCCTGGCCAAACAGAAAAGATCTGTTTCTGATTCTCAGTGATGGTACAATCTTGCTCCCTCTGTGTCTCTCTCTCGCTACAGTCTACGTGTGTCAGGAGGAGGGCTACTGCATTTAGAACAAACAGAAGAGACACTCCATTACAATCTCAATTTCAGATTCACAATGAATCAATTTTCTTAGTGTAATTTGTATCAGTGTATCGTAGTGTATTGGGGAAATACGCTAAAAAATTATCTGTTATTTACCTAAAATTTAAATTTAACTAGGCAAGTGCATTTTATCTGACAAGCCAACCGAGGAGACAAGGACAACTGATCTAGATGATAAAGGAAAAGGACCTCTGAGTTCATCTCTTTCTAAGCAACTCACACCTGAGTCCTTAGAAATCTCGCTTGAAAGATCTTGCTTCGAAATCCAGACTCCCCACTTCTCCCATTCTAAGGACAAATGTCCCTCTTTCTTGTCTTGGGGATACCATACATGGTGTGGGTTTTGGAAGGGAGTGGACCCCCAAAGTGGAAGTGGCTGGCAGTAAATAGAGCAAACCAGAGCCGCCCACATAGGGGAAATCTCATGCCCTGCAGGGTTGTTTTCTGATTGAGCTCCTCAGCTCACTACCTGCTTTTACTAAAGATTATAGTTCATCTGAATAGAGCACATGACAGATACTACTGTGCTTTACATCCACAATCTCATTTCATCTTCCCAAGGATCTGCAAACCAGACGCCGATCCCTTCTCCATTTCACAGCTGAGGCTCACAGAAGTGGAGCAACTTGCCCAAGGCCAAGCAATCGGGGAGTGGCCCATAAGGCTCCAAGTCCAGGTCTGTCTGGCCTTAGAGAAGCTCTGGGATGGAAGGCTAAGAAAGTAGCAGGCTGGAGAAAAGGGTTTACTGGAATCCCAGAAAGCTAAACAAGATCATCTGTAAAGCCCCTTTGGCCTTACTTCAATGCTTTACAATATGAGCAACTTTACGTTTGTTTACAGACTGTGAGAGCTGGGCACAGACAACGCAATGCTTAGCACAGTACTGGTGCGCGGGCATAGTTCAAAAACAATGCTTAAGAAGTGAAAGACGTGGAGAAACGGATGTGTAACTTAACAGCATGGAGATTTACACAAGGTGCTGTGCCAAGACCATACGGAGAGTCGGGGAATGTGCCCAAGCAATGTCAGCCCCTTCCTCTTTTCCTGACCCAGACCTCTAGCCACGAGCTCTCCTATGGCTCTGCCCATCTCTCCACCCTCTTCCTTAATTGCTGGGTTCTCAGTTCTCTTGGCCTTCAAATTGCTCCCCAGAGAGAGCCTTCTGCGCCACCTAGAGGACAACAGAGTTATCAGAAGGGAATGAGGGAAGCTGAGGAGCCCAGGGTGGTTATTATCATGAAGGGCACCGAGGCACCTCCCCCAGGAAGATGAACCCCAGACCTCCACTTTGCCTACCTAAGACATTCATCCCGTCCTTGAACTCCAGGCCCTTCTTGATAACCATCTTAGTTTCCTCAGGGACCTCCGACACAGTCTCGTTCAACAGGGAGACGACGGTGCTGGTGGCATTGGGTTCCTCTGACTGAGGGGCCACCAGGACTTTCTTTGTCACTGTTTGAATCTAAGGGAGTAAAAACAAAGAAAAAGGAAAAGAAGAAGAAAACCATAAAGGTGAGGTGTAGTCTAAAAGATCAACAAAACCTGGCTACTCAAAGTATTTTGTATTGACAATAATTCAGAAATGCCCAAACAAGTTTATGAAAACTGGAGAATATTTTATATGTTTGTTTAACAAAGTGATATTTTACCACACACATACAGTAGGCTGCAACTGTCCCAATCCTAAGACAACTGCAGAATTTATAAAATTAGCTTGTACTGTACTACAAGCATTATGGTCTAATATAATGGGACACAAGCTTAAAACCAGGGAAGGATGTTATTTCCTTTCATTCTAATGGTTGTACCTCTGTGCCTCAATAGGGACAATATTAAAAGGCTAACTTGGATATTCCACAGAATTGTGAGACCAAGTTAGATGGCCCCGTGCGCCTTCTGGACAGTCACTGCCAGCCAACGCTCAGTCTGGGGTCCTTCCAGAGCCAGGCTCTGCTGGGAATCCCCAGTTGGGCCCCAGTCTGATCATGGTAGCAGCCACGATGGTAGGAGCATTCGCTTGTATTTTAGATCCAAATGTAGGTTCAGAAAATACACATTCCTTCTGGGCAGCTGTGCCAACCAACCCTTGTTCAATGTTTTCAAAAATTGCAGAAGGCTCCCAAGGAACCTCTCACACACTTCCCTGACTTCCGTGGCAGTAGTCCTATTTTTAAAGGTGTCAGGAACCCTCCATGCAGACTGCTGTGAAAATTCACATCTGAGCCCCCAAGCCCACCATATCCAAAGGCATTAAAATAGAATTCGCGCAGAATCCTAGAATGTCAGTAACTGCATATAGAAAGCGACAGATGGCTGAACCCTGAATAGATACGGAAGAGGATGCATGGAGAAGTCAAGTGACTTTTCAGACGTCATAGTTATTGGCGTCACAGTTATTCAACTCCACTAGCTTGACTGCTACTGAGTTCTTCCCACTCCCTGTGTTGTACGGTGAACTATGTAGACCTGATCCTCCTGAAGCTGGGCCCAAGAAGCAGCAATGCCAAACTGACTGGGTGACAAAGGTGACAGAAATGGAGATCAGTGTTCTCCGGGCTGAGGCAGGTGTCTCAGTCCCAGCCTGGCCACATGCACGGATGCAGCAGAAAGGATGTCCAGGGTCGTCTGTGCAAAAGAACAGGCAGTTCCCTTACCCCTTGTTCTGGGCAACAGTGGCGTGGAAAGCGAGCAGAGGAACGAGCAGAATGGAGGTCACAAGTATAGCAGGGTCGTGCTCCCAGGGAAGAAAGCTGACCACCTATCCTGAGAATGCTAAAGCAGCCAGAGTTCAGGTTAACTGGAGCAACGATCATGGATCTAAATGTAGTTATCAAGTTCAGGTAAGAGGTCACATGCTACAGATTTGATTGATATCTACTACCTTTTAGCAGTAACCAACCCAAAGGCAGATTCCTAACCCAAGAATAGATTGCTGGTTAGTTACTGAAGCAGGGTTCAAATTCATTTGTTCGACTCCAAAATCCAGCTTCCAAACAGCACAGGCCAGGGGCTTCAGTTGAAGCTGATGGGATAGGCACACTGGAACCCAGGCCTAGTCCTCACCTGAATTTTGGATTCAGAGAGCCTGTTTGGGCTGTACAACTCCACCTGGGTACCAGCTGTAGTCTACCACATCCTCCTCACCAGCATCTCTCTCCTTTAAATCTGCAACAGCCTCCTAACTGACCTACCCACCTTTCTTCTTGTCTATCCTCCATCTATAGGTAAATATGGCTACCTATAGTTTCATCTACCCCTAGCTGCCAGACTGATTTAAAAAAAATAAATAAAAGCCTGACACAAACCCTTTTAGAGTAAAAATGCAATTCTGAGCTGGATTTCCTGAGCTGGATTTCCCATTCTTCATTCAGTATTACTCATTTTCCACATTCAATCCTCCCTTCTGTTCTCTGAACATACTAAATACCTCCTGACTTCTGCTCAAAACTTTTCCCTGCGTTCTTCTCTGACCTCACTCATTCTGATCCCCTATTGTTTCAGCTCAGACATCTTCCCCAGTTATGACTCAGTCCATGCTTATCCTGCCTGTAGCCCGCACAGGCTTTAAGTTTCTTATGTGTTCCCCTGGTTTGCTTCAGGTTTTCTCCTGCCTCTTGAATACTGATAAGCACCATGGAGCTGGGCCCTTGTCTCTGCCATTCCTTGTGGCATCTTTTACTGAGCAGAGAGCCTAGCAGTCAGTAGCACTCACAAACATTGGCTGGGTGAACACACGCTGGTTGCTGAATTCTCCAGAGGAACACATCCCATGTGGTTTCTTTGCTGGCCTTGATTTAACGCTGTCAGGCTACACATTACAGCCAGTTACGCTCTTGGAAACCTCACAGTTCTGCACAGCAGGTGGCAGGTCTTCCTGCTGTCCAAGACCCAGGGGCCTGAAGTGGGCAAGCTACACCTTGCTGCCTGGGGTGAGGCAGCCTCTATCCTGGGGAGAGTTTAGCTTCTTTTGATCTCTGATCAGAAAGCCTTCATTACTCAAGAGAGATGATTTTAAGCCACTTCCTGTCATATCTCATGGACATGCAAGTGACCTCTTGTAGATGCTTTCTTTTTGGGAATGCCATGACACTATAAGAATGGCCTCCTTACCTCAAGACCTCCTTAAGACTCTCTGTGTCATGCTTAAGGAATATACACCCACCCTTACCTTGGGTAGAGGATTGATTCTATGTTGTCATTCCTCAGATTGTCTGAATGCAGGGGGAGCTTGACTAAGCTTAGCTGGCGGGCTAAGACTCCATGCTCATATAACTTTTGCCTGTGAAGTGATGGAATCAGAGTAGGGGTGGCACCGGGAATGGCATGGCCCCCATCCCAGGGTTGCAGACAGTGGCCCTTGTGATGGGTAGCGGTATGAAAAGATTGTCCACTGACAGAGAGGTCCTCACGTGTGAATGCAGCCATTCTCCCCAAAACTCACTCTAAGACCCATGGAACTACTCAAGGCACCTGGCTGCTTCTTGGTCCTGCCTTGTGTTTGGACTGACACAAAAGACCAAGTCAGCAGACCCAGATCCATCTTTCCCAGTGCCTCTCATCCTCAATCTTTTCCTAGCTCACTCCAGGAGTTACAGCTCCAGAGAGCTTTCTGTAATGTTAAGAAGATATGTGGCAATCAATCGTGTCTATTGCTCCAAAGCAAGCGATTTCATCTTTCTACTCTGGCAGGTGGAAAAAACAAGCACAAGATATCAAGGATTCTGCAGCAGCACGCTCTTCTCCATTTACTTCCAGTCACTCCCGATCCCACTCCCCTTGCCTAGAATGGTTTCCTTTAATATAGGTCCCTGCTCCTGTACCACCAAAATGGCATTAAATCTTTCTTAAAGTTGTATTTCATTGTCAATTGTTGTAAGAACGGTACATATTTATAGGGTACGATGTGATGTTTGTTATATACATATACACTGTGTAATAAGCATATCAGGTTAATGAGCATATCCATCATTCCCAGTATTTATCCTTTCTTTGTAAAATGGTATTTGAAATCAGAGATCACATCCTGCCCCAAAGCAGTCTGGATTCTGCAGGGGTTGGCAACTGCATTTTAGGAGGATCCAGGAATACAGATTTTCTTCTGAGCTGCTTGTCTCCTAAATTCATTTTTTGTGTGATTGCCTGGAAATGGCTAGAGAAGGCTCATTGTATCTAACTTAGTCTCCAGCCAGGCTGCTGAGAACTGAGGTATGTTCTAATGTAAGCTTGCTGTGGGGAGATAAAACAGGCTAGTCAGTAAGTGGGGCCTAGGCAGCAGACTCTGTGGTTCTATTCAATAGAATCATCTGTTTTTAAAAATGACAAGTTTAAAACAAACACACATGCATGTATGCAGTTGGTGAGAGTATGCACTGTCAATGGCTTCTATACTACCGTTATGCAACATTCAATAAATTCTAAGTATAAAGCTTTTTTTTTCCCAAGACATTTCCACTTCTAGGAATTCATTATTCTTTAGGAATGTTACATGATCATAGAAAAAAGAGTGACCTTTTGCACTGCTACATGAGAAAAGCAAGAGGCATCATGGTGTGCATGATGTAGTACTGCTTGAGCTGACTTTTTAAGAGGTCATATACACATGCCTGCGTGGGAAAGAAGGTGTGTGATAGGAAACAAAAATTCTCAATGTGAGTAGCTCTTGGGAGGGGCAGTGGGAGCTTCTAATTTTCACTTTATGAACTTCTATACTATTTAGCCTCTTCAGGTCCACACATATTATTTAAACCCACAACTTCAAAATGCATCCCAGCCTCAGATCCCTTCTGGAAGATTATAGCTTCTGATTCTATAGGGTAGTTATATATATTTTTTAAGTTCTACAAGTGGTTTGCTACACTGCAAGATTGAGAACCACTGAGCATTTCAAATGATTGTGGGCAAGGTGGATAAAAATGTGCTTGTGGGTTACTCAGAGATAGGAATGTAAAGGAAAGGAAAAGGAGGAAGAGAGGCAATGTCAGAGCAAAGAGATATTAAGTAAGTGGAAAAGAGAGGGGAGTTTAAAAAACTACCACAAAATTCCAATCCCAAGAGCCTACCCTAGATCACGTCATATCAACCCTGGGCCTACCCAGAGACAATAAATATTAAGAGATTGCTACCCTGAGTGGTCTAAGCTACTACTTAGATGATTGGAGAAGACAAACCACCAGAATTTCAGATTACCTGTTGGAAACAGGCTTGGACCAGATTTTCTGGGAAGAGATTTCGGATAAGATCCAAGAAGGCATCCAGGCTGGAGACTTCATCGTTCTTCTTCCCAGGTCCCAGCTGTTTCTTGAGTTTGGGATTCCCGGGGTGGATGGCCAAGACCAGGATGACCCCCAGCACAGCAGCAATGACAGTCGTGGACATATAATATATCATAGCTCTCGTACCTAAGCGACCACTGGCTTTAGCATCCAGGCCAGACAACCCTGGGTTGAAAAGAAATCCAGAAAAATTAACTCTGTTATGTACCTGCTCATGACCCATTTCTCCACATCTATACCCTTGGCTTCCTATTACTCAAATGCAATCATGCTTAACTTAATCTCGTACTAAATAATTGACCAGGGTGCTCAGTGGAACAGTGTCTGTCTGGCAAGTACAAAGTCCTGAGTTCAATTCCCAGTACCTCCTAGCCAAAAAAATTGACCAATTCTTCATTTTACAACGCTATTTTCACGGATATTTTTAAGATTCTTGAGAACTGGAAAGAGCTGGCAATTGTCTTGCTCAGAATTTGCACATGGTTGCTCACTGCATCTTTGTCAATCTACAAGAGTGACTTAAAGTTGAAGATATTTCAGGTTTCATTGTGAGATGAAGTCTTTCACATTGTGGCATCCTTTCTTTTATGAAGTGGTGGTGCTGGTGAACACTAGTTTCCGTGTTTATTAGTATTAGGTAACGTCCTGGCTCAGAAAAATAAAAAGATGGTAGATCCATGTGAGCCTCAAAATGCCTTTTGAATACTTCAGTAGTCACTGAAATGCAGAATCTGAGAATGAGGACTCAGCAGAGCTCTCTTCTCTCCTTGAGGTGAAGCGTAATGTTCTTCATCTCCCAACCTCGTGTAGGGATCAGAAAACACATGTGTAAGGCAGCGGCCGGTGGTGGTGCTTCATCTATACCAAGGGAGGTTAGAGGAAATTCCAAGCCAGTCACAAAAACTCCAGCCCCCCTGGGTTTTTTTTCCAGTTGTTTTACAATTTGTCCACTTCCTGATTTCAGTTCCTTCTTTTACTAGACACAGATAGACTGAGACTCTTTTGGGGGATCCATTCTCTTTGCTGTGGGGGAGAAGTCATTGATGTGAACTTCTCTGAAACTGACCCATATATGACTTCCTTTTCTTTATAAATTATGGTCTAATTCTGGCCAATGGAAGTCAGGTTTCCTGAACAGCTTGGTGTATATACAATCTCTTCAACAAGTGTGGAGATCATTTTCCCTGGTTTGGAAAGAAGCATTTGAGGCAAAAACACAGTTTCACTAGGGGTGATTGATAGGACCCCATTGAGCCCCTGAGCACTTGATCCTGAGCTCCAGCCTTTCTGATCACTAGGTTCACTGGTTGAGTATCTATGAGACTTTAGAACAACCAAGAACAACATCTGAATCTCTTCAGTAACTGGAGCTTCACTTCCTATACATGGTGGTCAGTCCGGAGGGCAACTTCTCAAGGTGGCATAACTAACTGGCACCCATAAATGGACCAAGGCCCAGCTTCCCATCCTTAATTCAAGAGCTAGTATCTAAACACCAACTGATGCCCTGCTGGAGCAATATTATTTGGTAAGGAGGAAATTAACAGTATAAATCTAGCCGGGTGTTGTGGCACACCCCTGTAATCCCAGCACTCAGGAGGCCGAAGCAGGAGGATCGTTGCAAGTTTGAGACCAGCCTGGGCTACAAAGTGAGCTCAAGGCCAGCCTGAACTGTATAGCAAAACCTGGTCTCAAAAAGACACAAGAAAAGGTATAAGCCTATGGCAAGGGAAAACATGCTGCTAAATAGAATAATTAATCCTTTAGCCAAAATAAGTAAGCATGATGCCACACATTAATGACACCCTTGTCCTAAAAATGTCAAAGGGCTTTCATTTCTAACATTTCATTTCTAACATTTTTAATGTCCACCACTCTCCGTGCCCAATGAAATAATAAAGACACTGTCCTTTTCCACTTGTTACTTTTATCAGTTTGTGGACAAAACATACTTTAGAAAATTGAGAATGTATACATTAAAAATTAAACTCACTAGAGATAGCACTCTGACATGTGGCTGTTTCCTTTTTATCTTTTGTGGTTAGAGTGAATGATGGACCGACTGACAGATGGCAAGCCTTTTTTTTTTCTTTTGGGGTTGATTATCCTCATTTTAGGGACAGGGAAACCAAAGCTTTGAAGTGAAATCACACAGATGATCACATTCACTCAGCCAAATTGAGCTTCCACAGTCAGTCTGAAAGCCAGGACGGGACAAGGACTCCCTTCGGAGGAACACCACATAGGTGGTCTTACCTGTGATTAAGCTGGAGATGATGAGGGGGAGAATGAGCATTTTTAGCATCCTCATGAGTATATCCCCCGGGAAGGCTATTAACATAACCACGTCAGGGTGGATGGGAGAGGCCAAGCGAAGAAGCCCTCCACATACTGCCCCCAGGATGACACCTACAAGGAAGGAGAAAAGGGGGAATCTGAATCTGGTTTTTTTTGTTTTTTTTGTTTTTTGCCCTAGTCAAGTAAATGGATCCATAGACTTTCTTGGTGAAACTGACCTTTCTCATGCTTCTGTCTTATTAGATGATGAATAACATACAATAAAAATGTTAGTTAAGTGAAATTAAGTGAAAACATTCATGAAGCGTTGATTTGACAACTAGAAAGAGGACTCTGGATAGCTCCAATTATTCTAACAGATAGCCTTGGAAGGTGGGGTGGGGAACAAGGCTTGGCTTCTTTGAGTATTTGAAGGTACTGCAACATCTGAGATTTTCAGTAGCAGCAACTTGCAGTGCCTGATGTGGCTTCTCCTTCCAGCCCAGGTCTGGCCACATGGCTTGGCTAGTAAATGCATCATCCATTTTAACTGGTGGCCAAAGAAAATGTTGGACTGACCAAACTACTACAAATCCCCATCCATCTATTTTCTTCAACTGCCAATAATTTCCTCATGGCTCACTCTCCAAATATGTCCTTGATTTTCAGGTCCCTAGACTTACTGATCTTATGGAAGTTCAATTGGGGGCTTTAAAACTCTGTAATTGTAGAAGGACCAAGTTAGGCAGACATATTGCCAGGAGCCTTTCCCTTTACAGACACACAGATCCCACAAGAAACTCTTTAGACCTCTGAAAACGGATGGCCAGCATAAAGAACACAAGTCAGACCGCAGCACCCTGGTTGTAAAGGATGGGGGGAGTTCCCAGGTATGTTTTTATATAGAGTTAATTCCAGGGATGTGGCAGGAGGGATGTGACTGAAAGTCTGATCTTCTTTCTACAAACAAAAATCATAGTCCAGCTTCTTTGAAGTGCTATGATGAATGGGATCTGCTCACATGGAAGGGAACCTTTGGAATCCCCATCCATGCTTGTGGTTTCCTGTACTATGTACACTGAGCTGTGGTAAGCTCCAAGTCTTAACCCTGACCCAATGGCAGATAAGAAGACTGGCTTAAAAAAGAGGCCACAGGACGGAAGGTGTGTGGGTGGGTGTGCAGGTCAATGGTGATGGGGGGACGCAATGAGTTGTCATTGCTTCCCCATGTAGCTAAAGGGAGAGCTGAAGAACACGGGAGAGACTGAGAAGACAGATGGTGTGGCTGGCCTTACAAGAAGCTGCAGTTTACCTCACTGTCCAGAAAACCTGGTGGAAAATTTAATACTGAGCTTGTATCAGCTGTTCACACAAAAGAACCCCCACAGAGTGAGGGAGGAAGCCAGGAAGGAAGATGTCTTGATTCACTTCAGCTTTAATTTGAAAGCCGTCCTTCCCTCTTTATGTAACCTGCCCAGTCAATCTAACTTAACGAGGTTTCTGCAGAAGGTCAGAGCCAGGGCATCCTGTTAGTGGTGTTTTCTGCAATGGACACCCTACCTTGGGGCAGGTATTTCTCTAAATTGATCCACTCGCTACCAGCTTTGGAGTCACCTAAAGTCTTCCTAAATGTGGATTCCAAAGCCTCCCTACTGATGGTCCAAGGCCGTCTCCATGGGGATGGACTAGGAATGTGCATGCTGTCACACTCTCTAGAAACTGTACATGTAAAGCTGGAGAACCAGGGCTGGGGATTTAGCTTGGCGGCATAGTGCCTGCCTGGCAAGCACAAGGTCGTGAGTTCCAATCCCAGTACCAGAAAAAAAAAAAAACAAAAAAAAAAAGCTGGAGAACCATTACGATCCAAAGGAGGAGGGCACACAGTTGCAGTAGGTGAATTCAGGAGGAGGATTCCACCGCAGCAGTGATGCCTGAGGCAAATGGGCATTGGGTGTAGCAGGTGAGCTGCTCAGACCAGCTTCCCCCCACAGAGCCAGGAGAGCACCAGAGAAGAGGGACTGGGGGGTTCAGGCACCTACCAAACACCGTCAGCGTGAGCAGGAGGTTCTTCCCCAGCTTGTCGCACAAGCGCAGGCCCAGGTGTCGGTGCTTCGGCTCGTCTGAGCTGAGATGGCTGTCGTGCATGCGCACTTCCACTTGCTTGGGCATATTGTTGGCACTGCAATGGAAGAGTGGCGTGGTTAGAGACCGTGGGCGCCACACCTATACAGCTTCAGGGCCTCGGGTCATAGAGGGCTGCCCACATCCCTGGGGCTAGAAAACAAAGTTGACTCAGGGCACTCTGGATTTCAGGTTACCTGCTGGCAGGACAACAGGACACACCAACCACCCGTGTGTCAGGTGCTTTGATTCCCATCACTGAAGATCTTCAGGGTAAAGAAAGGAATCCCACAAGCAGATGGGTTTTCCGGAGAGCTGCCCGCAGTGCTGACTCTGGGAAGGAAGAATCCCACCCTGTCTTACAGAGACTAACTTGCTGAGGGCTGCGAGGCCAGAGGAAATGGGGATTCAAATCCAGATATGCCTGGCTCCAGCATCTAAGCTCTTTCGTTCTTTTAGCAACAGCAAAAAGGTGACGTTTTTGGTCAGCAGCCGTCTGAGTTCTACCAAAATGAAAAGGCCTCCAAGCTCAAGCTTTCTATGTTCTATAAACGCCACAGATGCTGAGAACACAAGTCTTACCTCTCTTTTGGAAAAGACAATTTACCCAGCTTAAAGAAAGCTCAGTCTACTGTGGTTTTTTAAAAGATCACTGTACTATCAGGATTCTGCTAAACTGCTCACAAGCCAAGACCACTGGGCGTCAAAGGAGTATGGTTTTCAGGACCACTTCGATCACTTTCTTCTGCAGATGCAGCTCAGATCTCTTTTGGTTAAACTCCAGGGCCCCCAAATCATCCTGGGAATCTGCTCAGTGGAGCCCTGGGCAGGGAAATGGGGACACTGCTCCTTCCCCAACTTTGTCATTTCCCAGGTCAATGAGATTCCACGATTAAGCTTGGGCACTGACATAGGGGTGCCAGGGTTTTACTTTGGCAACTTGGGACATTTTTTAGCTGCCATTTACAACCAGCATCATTTGACAAAAGAAAAGGAAAAGCTTTAGCATCAGGAAGAACAGGTTACTGTCCCTGAGTAGATGACAGGCTAGTGTCCTCCAAGATACCAAGGTGTTACCTTTCCCCAGATATTCTCGCCCCAGACATCACAGACCTTCATCTCTGCAGACCTGGAATCATCAGTCATAGTGGGAACAGTGTGGACTTTAGGGTCAGAGTGGTGGCTTCAAATCCTGACTCTGTCACATGTTAGCTGTGTGGTATGTGGAAAAAATGGTGTCATATGTACCTCATGAAAATTAAACAATAATATGCTAGCATCGGTGCTTGACAGGGGAAGTCGTTTTTCCAGGAAACTTGAAGAAAAGACACTACTTGTCAAGTTCCCAACAAGGATAACATTTAATTCAGTTGACCCACCGTTAATTCACCTGCACTGCCATTACAACAAAATGACAAGAGAGTAGCTTCCACTCTCAGAGTGAAGACCGGGGACTCAAATACAGTATCATGATTGACTTTTTTTTTTTTTTCATTCAAAGAAGGCTGGTTAATACACTTGCTACCAAAATCTTTTAAAATTGGGAATAATTTTGTGTGATTTTTGTAGAATATTCAGATGAAAATATTCATCAAAATGTAAGCTTGTTAGTCTCCTCTAAGTAGCCTACATTTCTATCCATCTAGCTAACATTTGAGGCAACATCTGACCTCTTGATATGTATGTATGCTAATGATCACTCAGAACCCCTAAAAAAGAAAACAGGGCATATGTGCTCATAGCCTGAGGGCTGGAGCATTTCTGATCGGTGAGTAATTAATACCACTTCCTCCTACTGCCAAGTAAAACAGACAGACAAGTACTTTTTACAACACAGCAGAAGAAAATGATCAAACTAATCTTTTTAACATGGGCAGATCATATTTCTGTTTGCACTGGGATATTTTTCCATTTTTAAACATCTCTCCAGCCAATTCTATAACATGAAGCCCTAAATCAGAAAATGGGCAACAAAGAAGCGAGATAGTATGCGTTCTGCTGTGATTCATGTATTCCCTTAGCCAGCTCTTGGCAAAACTCTACGGTTCCCCTTGAGATAGTTAATAGCCTTGCCTTCTGCTTTGAATTGAATGGCATCCCTCCCGCCATTGAAATTAGAATCTGGCTCATGGTTGATATTTAAGTGAGACTAGCAAGTATTTAAAGCAAATGTTCTGGCAAGATCCATGTAATGTAAGAAAAACTTCAGGCATCAAAACAGCCATGTCAAAGTGAAAACACACAAATATTAGGGTAACATATACAGCCAGCCCTGAGAAGTGGTTGGATGCCTGTTACACACATTTCTTGGTTGTACAAAATTGCTGCCCATTTAACGGTTTGCTTTTTAGGCCACGACAAAATGTCCCTGAAGCCCTCCATCAAATCAGCCACATCAAAGCGGCAGCATCAAAATGTCATGAACCCACAAGTATTTATTGGGAGAATTCCTGTGACTTGTCCCTCTTGGAATTAAACAGATGCTTCAGGTTTCTAAAAGTGTCTTACAGATGCACATTGACAACCATTTTTTAATTGCTGCTGGGACACAGGGAGCCTGCCCCCCAAAACTCTTTGTAAGAAATTCTATGCCAACCTAACTAATCACTGCATCTGCCAGAACACAAGGAGATCTTGAAATGGAGAATATTATGGAATACAGCATTACAGAGTATTATATGACACAACAGAGCTTCTTCTCAGCCTATGTACCTCACAGACAATAGACATCATCATGAAAAATGCATGACACACACAGCTATAAATGCTGGTTACTGAACGCGGACTACAACAGCAGCAATAACGGGTAACTTGCACTTACTGACCATTCTGTATGTATGAGACACCACACTTCATAATGAGGAAAGTATAATCCTCATTCCTAAGCATCTACTAAGGAAGGGAACATCTGCCTGTCCTGTGGGTGGCGACAAAGTTCTGCAAATGATGCCAAGGGAAATCGAGGCAGAAAGGGTGCTCAAGAAGGGCTCCTGGGAGGGGCTGATTTCTAACTTGGATCTTAATGAGTGGATTTAATCTAGCTGACTTCATCCTACACTACTCTGAGTCCTGACAGAAGAGGACTGTGATTTTTAATATGTAGTACTTAGTCCTTATAAATTTTGCTAAAATAAATTAAGAATTTCTCAAGACTACCTTGTTTTCTCCTGGGAATGAAGCCCCTCTACCAATAGGCTGGCAGCGTATATACCAGCAAGCTCTTACCATTCTTGCATTTATTCCATGAATTTCTATTGGCCACACATAGAACTCTGCCCTGGTCTATGTGCTAAACATAGCAGAATAAACAAAAAAGACAAAGTCTTTGCTCCCGTGGAGTAGACATTGTAGAGGGAGAACAAGTAAGTGAATAGATCTTTTACAAGCGGCAATGAGTATCAGGAGAAAGGTAAAGGTAGAGGAGACTAGGACATGGGGAAGTAATGAAACTTTATATCACGTGGCCAGGCCAGGTTTCTGTTATAAGGGGACATTTGAACATAAACCTGGAGGACATGAGGGGTCTGCTCAAATTAGTTATGCAGTTTGTCCATAGCTTAGCAAATGCAGAATAAACACACTACGGAAATCTGTACGTCCATCCTAGAGCCTAAAGCTCTCACCAGATGCAATCTCTGATGTCCACATGTTGGATTTTAGCCAAGAGACTGATTCAAGTGAAAAGTCAAACATGTACCTCTAATTTCAATGGCAGGAGGAATGCCATTCAATTCAAAGCAGAAGGAAAAGCTATTAACCATCTCAAGGGGAATCATAGAGTTTTGCCAAGAGCTGAGTAAGGGAATACATGAACCACAGCAGAACACATACTACCTCTCTTCTGGGTCCTGTTAGCATCATGAAGATGATGGAGTTTCAATGACTGTTTCCAGCTCACAGGGGAAGAAATGGTTACTGTAAGGAGGTAAGTTGGACACAAGAGAAGGCCTGAATCTTCAGCAGCCTAGGGATTTGCTTCTAGGGCAGTGAGCTGAGAGGGCAGGACTCAGGCTGGTCAGGTCCCCTGGATTAACACAGTAAGTCATTTCCAGTTTGCATACTTCTGCCTTTATTAATACTCCCTACATCCTGTGGCTGCACAGATGGAATGAAGCCATGAAGGATTTAAACACGTAGGCAATGTCAACTCCACAGAGCTCCCTGACACTGTTTCTACTTGAGTACTTCCTGAGTGGAGGAGTTAGGAATGCCATTCTTTAACAAAAAGTCTCAGTAGGCCAACTCAGCCAGATTTCTCCGACGGCCTCCATTGCCCAACAAAGTAAGGCTGTATGATGAGACAGCTGTTAGGAGATTAAAAACTTTAACAATGAGTCTATAATTTCCTTCAGCCTTAGCCTCTCCTCTGAATTATTTAAACAGCTGTTAATTTTTCAATCGCTGCCCAGTTCCTTCTCACGCAAATCCACGTGAGTCCTGTTTCAATGGAATGCTTAGCTTATCGTGCAAATCACCCTCTGTGATTCCAAGAGACCGCGTAATGGAGCTCATGCTAAGTGTTCAACTATTCTCAGAGCCTGCTTTTCATTAGCATTGGATTTGCCTTGGTCTGCCAAGAGCCTCTAATAACAGGCTCATTAGATGTGGTGCTGGAGTCAGACTTCCTGTTGTGTGCTCTACTGTCGCCTCATCTGGCACAGATTCTTTTTGTCTCCTTCACTGGCTGAATGAGGTGGCAGCAAGACATTCCCCCAGGGAGCCTAAAAGCAACTGCTGTGTTTAGCCTGGAGGGCATGAGGTCTGCAGTGGCCTCACTCATCTGCCCCTCCGCTGCCAAAGTTCAAACCTAGGCTTGAGGACCTAGGGAAATACAGGGGGACACATAGATGTTCAGCAATTGTCCCTATGGGAGATACTAGGTCAGACTCTCAAGAGCAACAATAAGACAGTTAGAGTATTAAGGACTGGAAACACCAGCAGTGTCAGCTTTGAACGCTGGGTACCATCCAGTGGTGATTACAACTATGAGTGTTGCACATGTTGCCTTTCTCCAACTCCCTAAAAAACATCTTCCTTGCTATAACAGGGCTTGAACCT